AAGATTCTCTCTCTCGCGCGCGCGAGCGATCTCACGCGGATCTCTCGCGGCCCAATGGGTCACGCGTGAAAATTAAAATACGATCAGATCGCGCGATCCTCCTTTTCTCGCTGTCGCGAGAACGACGTCATTCTGGCTGACGTGGCATACGGCTGACCCAGACGACGAGCGGCGCTTCGTGGGCGTCTCTCGTGACGATTATCTTTTTACCTACCCACCCTGTCCGTTTGACTTGCTTGCTTGCCTGCCTGCCTGTCCGCCTGCCCCCCGCCGTCGTCCGTTTGTGTGTCTGAGTGTGACGTCGTTGCGTGTGCGACCTCGTGTGCGCGCCCGACTCGCTCGTCGTGTCCGAAACGGAAGTGCGACGCGCTGAAAATGGGAACGCGCCCGCGCGTGCGTACTCGTCGTCGTGAACCCGCCGGAAAATGAGACAAAAAGAGAAGAAAGGGGGGAGGGTGGAAGAGAAAAAGAACGCTGTTCTTCCTCTACGACTCTCTTTCACCCCCTTTGCCCCTTCGCGGCCCTTCCCCTCGCTAAAATAACAATGCTTTCACTTCTGCGATTTTTGTAACCGTACGAAGGCACGATCTTTCGACAACTTGATTTTTGCTTTCTTTCTTTCCTTCGCTCTCTTATCTCTCTTTCTCTTTCTCCGAATAACGACGAACGTATTTCCGTATTCTGAGAGCGACGGAGATAGGGAGAAACGACTGAGCGGACTTTTGCAATGCGCGCGACTCTTGCCGAGAGAATATCGAGGAACGAGCGAACGATCGAGAATGAATTCTCGTGATTTCCCGTGAGTTGAGTGATGATCGGAAGTGTCACGGATTCGCGTGGCCCCGTGGATGTCCTGTCAGGACGAAATCGACAGAGCGACGTTTGACGCGACAGACAACAAACATATGTCTCTATCTCTCTCTCTTTGTCTTTCGTTCGCTCGCGCGTCTCTGCGTCGTTAGCAGAGATTCGGATCTCTCAGCAAGGGCGTGTTAAAACAGCATGTGGATGCAGCGAATAAAACGAGCCGCAGGCAAAGACGAAGAGTACGAGATCGGTCGGACAGATGCGTATTATTTACTCTTTCAGCAGTCAGTATAAAAATGTAGCGGTTTATATGACGATGAGCGAAAACTTCGGAGATCGAAACTAAACATGGCCACATCTGGTACTATTCTGAGCCTCTTAGCCAGACGCCCGTCGCGGAAACCTACGGATGACGGTGGCGGAACAAGCGAGCAGCGGGTCAGGAGGGAAAGCGACGCGCGCTCGGCCAATCGCGCGCCGCGCTCACCGCTCACGTGACCGCCCCTCGTCCGTCCGCTCGCCGCCCTTATCCATCAATCCGTCATCCTCCGCCTGTCCCGCTTCGCTCCTTCACCGTCGCGCTCGTACACTCTCCTTTTCTCTCCTTTACATATACTCTTGCGATTCCGTGCGCAATCTTTCCGCGCGCGTGAAACGGGATTCCTGAATACCGCCGCTGCCCCGCATACGGAATTCGTGCGAAAGGCGTGACACGGTGTACTGCGCGACCTGAAAACATCGCATGGCGCGCGAACACAGGTGCGTGACTTGGCGAATCTTCCCCGAGCGTGCAATCACTGGTCGACAAACGCGGAAAATGCTAATGAAAGATCATACAATCTGCGGATTGCATTAGAATCATTTTCTGACGTTCGCTTGATCGTCGCTTGCTGTTTACTTAGGTGGACTTTGAACTTTTTGCTTTCGTAAAGATCGTTAAACGCGTTTTTCCAATGATAAACTTCTGTTTGATTAGATAGAAAAGACTACGTGGAAAAAAATGATTCTGATAAGAAAAGAAGCAATTGTATTTAACACGATAAAATATAAATATATATTTAAAATATATTTAATTTGTATATAAATCTAAATAAAAATTTTTATTTTAATCTTTTAATATTGTATAGGATTATATATATATATAAAATTTACATACCTGGAAATGGCATGAAAAATAAATTTTTTTATATAAACGTAAAGTAATTTATTTATACAAATTTAAGGCACGTTTGTAATGACATCAAAATTATAACTGCATTTTTAAACGAAATCCTTTATGATGATCTTTTATACAAAGAAAACCAACTTTTTAATACAAAAATTGTCAAGAAAAATTTTACTATTGCATAAAAAAAATTTCATTAGTTTTTTGCAGTTAGAATATATCTTTTATCAATGTCACTAATACGTAACTCTTAAAAATACAAAATTTCGAAACAAAATATTAACAGGTTTCTAGATAAGTTACTTTACATGTTCATGCGAACGATGATGGAAAACAAACGAAATACCGCTAGGCCAACATTGTCGTAATGGTATATCTGGTAAATGCCGCGGATTATGTGAATGCCGCCAATCGGATAGATCTGAATTGCAATCCGATTGCTCTGGTGGACCTTTCACCTCGATGCCATTGACACAACGTGTGCATTTGAATCTAAATAAAAAAATTAATATTGATGTTCTTGTTCTGTGAAAATAATTCTAAAATGTATTAACAGTTTTCGCGATTTTATGCTTACTTTGCATGTGTGTCAGAAACCGTATTCTGTTCCAATTTAAATAAATCGCGCAAATCATTTATAGTAAAATGTCTCGCTACGTCGTCCTCTTGATCAACCACTGTGGAACTTAACGCTTTCTTATGGGCTTGTCTTTGAAATATTTTCTCTTCTATCGTCCCAGTCTGGAAATATAAAGCGTATGAATTATATAAAATAATAAATATTTTTTTAGAAAATGCGAAAATAAACATTTTAATTTTTATACATGTATATATTAAAAAAATGTTTATTACTTATTTGGAAAAAAATACTGTTATTAACTATATTACTAACAGAAAGAAAACGATAAACGAAGCACGGTTTCTTCTGACCGTCTCTCCAAACTCTGGCCATCGCTTGGTCATCATTTGCGGGATTCCAATCTGGATCGAACATGACGAGACGATTCGCACCTATGAGATTCAAGCCACATCCACCGGCTTTCGAGCTGAGCATGAAGATGAAATCATTACTGCTGTCGCTATTGAAATTCTCAACTACTTTCGCTCTTTTCTTAATCGTCATCGTACCATCGAGCCTCACATAATTATAGGAACGTTTATGACAAAGTTTCTCGAATAAATCGAGAGTTTGCGTATAATTGGATACTAATACTATTTTATCAGTTGTTGTGGTTTTAATAGACGCTAACAGACAATCCAGAACCATTAGTTTGCCCGATAATTCTGGATGCAATTCTCTGAAATAAAAATTCAGTAATTGAGTAATTCAGAAATTGTTTATTAAATGATACTTTATGAAATAAGTTAGGCTTACCTTGTCGAGTAATTTGGCGGCAGCAACGATGCAGCTTTCTCAAATCCTTCTGCCTTCTCCATGATTTTATCATATATCAAGTCGGGATGATTGCATAATTTTTTTAAGAGAGTTATGGCAGCTAAAGCAGACAGACTGCTACCCTTTCTCGAATTATCATTCTCTACATAATAAAAAAGTATATTTTATACCTATTCTTCATATCTATATTTTATTACATCGTATTGTTAAATGAATTTTTATCTCAAGAATTGTTTAAAAATTTAAAATATTTTCGTACCTTCCACAGATTTCTTTATACTGTCACTCTGTATGAAATTCTTGTAGAGACGCGTCTGCAGGTCTCCTAGTTTTATGCATACTACGAGTTCATATTTTAATGGTAAATATTTCGAAAGTAAGGCACTAGTACGTCTGATGAGACATTTATTAACTATGGACACTAAGTCAGACAGACGTTCTTCGGCGAGTTGACGTTCCTTATCAGTAGCAGCTGCGTCTTGGCCACGTAATATTGGTGTCTCGTACTTTCTTCGGAATTCCTGAAAGAATACTTTCAGCAATATAAATTATATATTGTAAATAGAAAATTATAATAACGACTTTTTTTAGTATGCATATTTACCTGTGCAGTTCCCAATAATCCTTGATTAACAAAGTGTACGAGAGAAAAATACTCTAAAAGATCATTCTGTATTGGTGTTCCACTAAGGAGCACTCTTCTCTTTGCTTTCAAACCCATAAGAGATTGATAGGTTTGATTTTCGGAATTTTTTAAGCGATGGCCCTCGTCACATAATACGAGACCTACTTCATCTTGATGCAGAACATGTGCGTGTAAACGAAATGTTTCGTAACTTATAATGAGAACGGGGGTAACGCATCTACCGCCGTAAGTCTTCATGAAACGAACGAGTTTCATATCAATGTCTGCTTTTTTTCCTCCATCAATAGCAAGAGCATTAACCCTGTTATTCAACCATTTATTAATTTCATTATACCAATTCTTCACTAGAGAGCTAGGTGCAACAATAATTGCTTTGTCTATTAGTGGTTTAGCTTCTGGTCCTACATATGATGCAAATATTTCAATTATAATCACTTTATAATCATTTTCAATTATAATCACTTTTCTTATTTTATAATTCTTTATTTCATAATTTTAAATATTTTACCTTGCCTCAACAATGTCCACAACAGAGTTATACACTGCAATGTTTTGCCAAGACCCATTTCGTCTGCCATAATGCATCCATACGCACCTTCTATACGCTTGCCTGTTACACATTCGTACATAAATTTCACACCTTCACGTTGATGAGGCCTTAACACATTGCACAATATAGGATCTACAACTACATGTACGAGCTGCTTACATCTGTAAAAATTGAATACATATTATATTTAGTCATATAATTGCAATTTGAACTTAAAACATTTTAAACACAAACTGCATTAAGGATAAATGATTACACATACGGATCTATTTTCAACTTATCATGTTCCGATAATTCTGGTGGTGAATAAACAATTAATGCATTAGATTCATCAGGATCATGCAATGGCCTACGTGGTCCTGATAAACGTAATCCAAGAATTCTTCCAGACAATTGATAACCAGGTACTGGTATTTGAAAAGGTTTACTAAGAAGTCTCCTCACTCTTTCTTCCTATTAATATCATAAATTAATTCCATATTACAGAACTATATATCAAATATAAAATGTAAAAAACAAAAATAATAATTTATAAACTTACATGTTCAGATACTATTTTTTGCATCGTGTAGACACCATTATCAGAAAGAGGAATAGCTTTGCGTTCTGGTATCTGTATATCTTTGACATTCTTGGAAGCCCGTCTTTTTGGATCTTGTATATGAATTCGTGTATTTTCAGACTGTGTTAATTCTATAATATCCTCTGGTATATCCAAGAGCAGAGGCCGTTTTCCTCTTTGACTAGGTGCGAGCGATCGAATCTGTATCAAACATAAAAAAAGAAATATATTATATAAGTATAAAATACAAGTATAACAATCTATTATCTTAGTGATTGGGTTAACATTATAAAAACATAGATTTATGACACAAAACAATTATATACTTTGATCTATTTAATTGAAGACTCTGTCCATCTCTTTTTCTTTCTGTCTCTGATTCTTATGTAAATTAATGCTTTTATTAATTAATAATAAATACAAAATGATTTACCTAACCTTATATTTCGCGTATTGAATAAGAATTTTCAGGAACAATAAAAGCGAGAACATAAAGAAAAGTAAAAGTAATATAAATTATTACCATTTCCGTGTTCAAATACTCATTATGTGTAAAAATCAGCTTGACTACTCTACAAATGATCACCAATAACGACAAAAGTGGCGCAAACCGGTAAATAAAATCACCTTCAAATTCAGTACGGACAGCATTCATGTAATTTTTCCCTAGGCTTAGAACGAAAAGATCAAAGTGAAAAGTTTCATGTGAATTGATGTTTCCGCGCGAAATATGAAATTCTTCATAAGAATATTTGTACTTTAAAATTTGCTGTCAAAAAAAAGAAATCTAAGAAAATAAGAAATAGTGGTATAATTCTCGTTACTATAATAACAAGAAAAATATATTTTTTACATGTGTTGTATGTGTTAAATAATTACAGGAAATTAAAATAACAAAATTGTATTATATTTCTATCTATTTTCATATATATATATATATATATATATATATATGTGTGTGTGTGTGTGTGTGTGTGTGTGTGTGTGTGTGTGTGTGTGTGTGTATAGTAGCAATTGCTATTAGATCATTGATAGTCGTTTATTAAAATATAAATAACAATAAATAAGGAAAAGGTTCAAAAAATTAAAATAAAATTTAATAAATCAAGAATTTTTATTATGAGCTCTTGGAGTATACGGGCTGATATAATATTTATAATAATATGTTACACATAAGTATAATAATATGTTTCAATCTTAGATTGTCATCTTTAATATCTATAATATTAATAATGTAAATATATTTCCATAGTTTCCATACAGCATAAACTTCAGCAATGTTGTTGCAATATAGTTGCAAAATTTTTGTTGTATGAGTTAAAACAATGTTAACAATGTTAAGTACATAATTAAAAAAAATAATTAAAAAAGATGTCATCTTTTTTTTGTTAAAGCGATAATAAAAACTTGTATTGTTAAAAATTTTCTAGATTATTAATTTCTTAAGAATAAAATAATATCAAAAGATAATTATTCATTATTTAGACGTACTTTTCGATAACTGACATTTTTTCAAGAATATAATTTTCATTATATTAATAAATTGACTTTATTTAAAATCACATTAGGATTTAACTTTTCATATATGTAAATACATGATCGCGCTGTGATTCGTGAAAAAAATTACGATCAAAATACATGGAAATAAAAAATGAAAAATTCCGTTTATGATATAAAATTACAGTGGTTAACATTTCATTTATTATACGGCAAGATTTCCCGGCGTTCTGATTGGCTATTCGATAGAGAACTTCTAAAGTCTTGAAAATCTTCTTTCTTGATAGCATTTCTGTAAAGATCTCCCTATTCATCTCTCTTTCATCTCCCTACAAGTTCAATTAATGGCTAAATTAACAATGAACAAACAAGTGTCCTACTTTTTCGATTTTAATTAATGAGACATATTAGAAAAACTTCAATAAAATAAAAAGAAACTTATATTTTGTTTCTTGGAATATTTAAATATTCACGCGATATCAACCCAAAAAATGCATCAAAATATTATAACAAAAGAAATTTGTCAGACTTTAAGAAACAATATTAGAATATTTAAAGATCAATGAAACATATTAAAAGTATTAAATTGTAATCATTGTCGAATAAAATTTTTTCAATCCAACATTTTCAAAGTCAGTCACAAAATCTATGAATAAAAAGAGAATTCTATTATGAAACACAGACACTCGTAATTACAAAAGTACGATAGAAGAAAATTTAAAATTTATGTAAAAATAAACAAAATTACAAAATAATCGATCTAAACAGAACGGAGCGAACGACTATTCAAATAAACGAAACGCTTTAAAGACAACAATTCTTTAATTCTCTATTTCTAACATATACAGTTTGTCTTTCGTAAGACAATACACGATGATATTTCATTCGGAATATTCTCTAGAGGTAACTGTACATATCGTGTCGAATATCTCTCCTTCGGATTGGCTCAAACGCACAGAAAATCTTATATGTGAATTTCGCGAGTGGAATGTAGAGAACCGCCCAAATACATGATGTGGATTATCCTTTTCTATGATTTTCATCTACATTAATACTGAATAATATATTACACTTTACAATTATCGCTTGGTATAAGTTGTGCATCGCCACTCTAAAGCACGAGAGACATATGTGTCAAATATTGAAACAATATATATCCACAATGTTTATTTTTTCCATGATAACATATAGTCTCGAATCTACAACTTGCATTACCATATGCAAGTACACTTGGGATAAATCTTTCGTAAATTATCAATTTACATATATCAATATCATTACTATTCATTTTACACTCTCATTGCACAACATCAAAAAAATGATATATGATCCTGTAAGCCTGTAACATTAATATCTTTTTGTAAAAGCCTGCAACAAAGGCGCATTACTTTTCCATCCCCTTTTTTCTTATCACGCCATTCATACTCTCTTCTCTTTAATCATTGGTCTTTCTGATTCTTTCTTATGAGTACATGGAAATAACAAGCGTGTTGTCATTATGTCATTTTAATTAATGTTGTTGAGAAGGTAGATCGGACTTGTACGCGTAATTTTATTGCAGTAAGCTTACGCATAAGGCGAGATACGTGAATAAAACGATGATTAATGACGAGAATCTCTCGGATAGAATTCCGCGAGGGTGCTAGCTGGGATTCTCTTAAGCATCTCCTTCGGAAAGATTCGCAGAAGCTGCCAGCCGATATCCAGCGATTCGAAGACCGTGCGGTTTTCGTAACTGCCCTGCGAGATAAAATTCTTCTCGAACTTCGACAAGAATTCCAAGTATAACAGATCATCCGGTGTTAAAGCTTCCTCTCCCACGACAGCTTTCATCGCTTGAACATCTTTGCCGATGGCATAACACGCATACTAAAAGAAGATAATTATAAAAAGATAATTGCAAAAAATATTTCTGAAATATTTACAGAAAAGAAAAAAATGTGTAAAAGAATTTCAATTTTATTTCACAAGTTGAAGATATTTGTAATTCTTTTTTGTGATTTATGATAACTCACCAATTGATTGGACACATCGGAATGATCTTTTCGCGTCATACCCTCGCCAATGGCAGACTTCATGAGACGCGACAGAGACGGCAGCACATTTACGGGCGGATAAATCTGCCTGTTGTGCAATTGACGGTCAACATAAATTTGACCCTCAGTAATATATCCAGTAAGATCGGGAATCGGATGAGTAATATCGTCGTTTGGCATAGTAAGAATGGGGATTTGTGTGATGGAACCGTTGCGACCTTCTACACGTCCAGCACGCTCGTAGATCGTGGCGAGATCGGTGTACATATAACCGGGGAAACCACGTCTACCCGGTACTTCTTCACGAGCGGCTGATACCTCACGCAACGCCTCAGCGTACGAAGACATGTCCGTGAGAATAACCAGTACGTGTTTCTCACACTGATACGCTAGGTACTCGGCCGCTGTCAAAGCGAGACGAGGTGTGATGATTCTCTCGATCGTCGGATCATTGGCCAGATTCAGAAACAAGCACACGTTCTCCATAGAGCCGTTCTCCTCGAAGTCTTGCTTGAAGAAACGCGCCGTTTCCATGTTGACACCCATGGCTGCGAACACGATAGCGAAGTTATCCTCGTGCGAATCAAGAACCGATTTGCCGGGCACCTTTACAAGACCTGCTTGACGACAAATTTGCGCGGCAATCTGTGAATCAAAAAATCAAATCTCAGTTAATGATATTAAAAAGAGATATTTTTATTGTAAAACTCATCTAAAGGAATTCAATTCTTAAAGAATAACAAAAAAATTTACCTCATTATGCGGCAGACCAGCAGCAGAGAAGATGGGAATCTTCTGACCACGGGCGATGGAATTCATAACATCAATAGCTGATATTCCGGTTTGAATCATTTCCTCTGGATAGATACGAGACCATGGATTGATAGGCTGTCCTTGTATGTCCAAGTAATCCTCTGCAAGAATTGGTGGTCCCTTGTCAATTGGTTTTCCCGAGCCATTAAATACACGGCCCAACATGTCCTCGGATACCGGAGTCCGCAGGATATCACCAGTGAATTCGCAATGAGTATTTTTTGCATCAATGCCAGATGTGCCCTCGAAAACTTGAACCACCGCCTTGGAGCCGGAGACTTCCAAAACTTGACCAGAACGTAAGGAGCCATCGGCGAGCTTCAATTGTACGATCTCGGCAAATTTTGGAAATTTTACTTCATCTAATATCACTAGTGGGCCATTCACTCCAGAAACTGTCTTATAAGCTGAAAGAAACAGAATAACAGCAAGCCAATTACTAAAATTTAATCTCATTCAAGTTTCCTATTATTTCTTTTAAATATTTTTTTAATTCAAATATAATTAAAAATATTGAAATGTTGAAAAATTATATCTCAGGTAATATACTACATTAAATAATTACCAAGATTATCAAGAAAGTATCATCTAAATGTTTCTAATTTTACATTCTATTTTGGATTATTTCTATCAAATTGATATATAAATTGACGAATACAAATATTATATTTATAATTATATTGATAAAAAAAAAATAATATATATATATATATATATATATATAATTTTATTATAATAAATTTTGTATTTTCTAAAAAGAATTTTTGTCTACATTCCAGACTTCATTATTGACTCATTTTCTTCGAAACAGTACAAATTACATAACATTTGTATCGTTTGTCATTTATATTTCTTCCCGAAATTGTATTGTGTCACAATTTCGGCAAGGCAGGTTACGCCCATGGGTAAAAACATCGCGAGATATTTAAATAGCCGCGAATTGAGAAAGGCTATATTTCAGAGAATTATTTTCGTGAAGTCCTAAGATTAAAGGGCTGCCTCCGAATCTTCCAAAAATTTGTTAAAAACGCGCGATTGCGAAGGCCGCTCGAGACGAGCGCGAGTCGTCCGCAGTCACATGATGCTGGCGGCTCGAGAACAGCGAATCTGCGAGCGTCCGCGGAGGGATTGTCCACCCTTCCCGTCTCGCGGATTCGCGTGCCAGAAGAAGAGGATCGTGTTCGCTTCCTCAGGATTTTCGACACATCGAGTATCATCACGGACACGGAGTTTCAAGTGGAATCAGCTGACCCCCTGCGTCGGAAATCGATCAGATGCTACGCCCAATCGCGGATGCCCCGTGTTCTCGGGGCTGTCTCCTTGTCGTCCGGAATGACGAAAGGCGCTACTTACTGAGACGAGGTTGTGCGATGAAGTCCCGAGACACGGCAAGCACGTGCTCCTGACTCGCCTGGTGATTGCTCATGGTTTTGGAATACATGTTTTTGGAATCTTGGTGATGCCGAACTCTCCAATACGTCTCACGTTCGCACGTTATCCACCACTGCTCGCTGTGACGAACAGCAGAAGATACTGTTCCGTCGCTGCTGCGTCGATGAAGAAAGAGAGAAGAGAGAGAGAGAGAGGGAAACGGAGAGAGACAGAGACGGACTGCTGCGACGGCAGAGAGAAAAAGATACTGAAAAAAAACACGCGGAAATTGTGTGTAGCGTGAGAAAAGAACTCGGAAATAATTTTCCCGGCGATTTCCGGCACTTTGGAATGAATCGCGTTGCTCAATGTAAATCGCGAGAGGTAAAAACACATGAGAAATCTCACTTTGAGAGAGAGGAAAAACGAAGAGAGGGGGAGAGAAGGACGGAAAACAGGCACGTGCAATCACGTGGCTCGGACTAGGTGAATCGTTAAAAGTTCCTTTCGTATAATGTTCGGAACAGTTCGGAGGAAGGATCGATATTCGGTCCTTCGAATAAAAATTTTAGAAATTAAGGGAAATGTCGATAGAATTATTTGCGATAGATTCATGGCCGAAGAGGTTTAGCTGGCTCCTTATCGTGACGAGTGACGAAAGATGGCGGTTTCTTCAATGTAATAAAAACATCACTTATGTAAATTATCAGTTTCTAAAAAATGATTTTTGTTTACAGTAGTATTATATAATATAATATTATTTTTCGTAGTTACAACTCAAGTATTTTTATTGATCATTATTTCAGAATGTTACATAACGATTTTTAGCAAAGCAATTCGTAGAGCTCTCACGAAATATAAAGATTCTTATAAGATCACTAAAAAACGCTATTCATTTTAACTTTCAATTTAATTTTTTAAATCACACACACACTCACACACACATACATATTCATTTATATTATTTTTAATCATTAATAGCATTTATTATTCATAATCATGACCATGAGAGATAACTCCGTCGTAATTATACTTTCTACACTCTATTTCTCTCATTTTTTTCTCTTTCTAATGTCTATTTCTATCAACGTTTATCAATTGGTTGAGTAACTTGGTTTAATTTATTTTTTCTAATTCTAAAAAAAGATAAAAAGTAAATTAAACTGGAATTAAAGTTAATATACTTTGATGGAAATGATCAAATAAGTCGTAGTATCCAGTTGTCCTGCTTTTAACGCGGTAAAAGTGTATGAGTCAGGACCACCGCGACGTTGGCTGCAAGTCGCTAGCGAGAACTCGCGGCGTGACGCGGTACTACGTATATACCGCATATACGTTCATGCGACTGACGCTTATTCAAGTGCGCGGAACAGTGGGGGATCGTCGCGTTTTCCACGGACGTGATCAGATAGGGTGGAGTTTTTGACGCGCGGTTGCGAGACAGCGAGTCAGTCAGTCGAGTTTAGTGCGTGCTCGAGAGCGATATCGACTGGTGACAATTGATATAGAAGACGTGATCTCGGACAAGCGATGGCGGCCCTTAAGCGAATCACCAGCCTGTCCCGGGCGCTCATGACAATGACATCCGCGACGCGACCCTGCCTCGAGCGTGCCACGAGGAAGACTTTCTTCACATATGTGAACGAGCCCTCGATGCCGATCCCCGGGAAGGAGCCCTGCTGGTTGAAGACCGCCGATGAAGCTATCGAACAGGCTGAACTCGACTCAGGTAATCGATAACCTCGAACATCATCTCTTTCATCATCAGTCTTGAAAGAGATCGCCGATGACCGCGATGATCCCTCGCCGGATGTTAGATCACCAGTCGATCCCCACCGACAATTTAAGCTAATTCCAATGTCAACTTTCTTTCTCTGTCTAGCTCATACGCGACATTGTAAAAAGGGAGACAGCGAATTGCTTTATTGGTCATATACGGCACAGATTGTACGCAACTAGGCATTTAAACGCGGATCCCAATGACATCCCAATGACTTCACAGATCTGCGTTGATCATCTGCCTACAGGCTTATAAATATTTCAATCTCTGGAAATCGTCTGCAATCGATTCTCTGCGGTCACTATGAAACGTCTATATTTATTTGATATTTAAGCTATACGTATTAGCTATTTCTTCCACCATTTCAGTGGGATTTATTTCTGTAATATCGAACTTCTATACTGTTTGCCAATGCTATTGTTCTTTCCGAATACTCTGGAGCGAGATACAAGACCTCGCAGTCTGGAACGATCAATCGAAATGTTGAAAAACTTTTAAACGGAAATGCTATTGCGATCGTCAATTTGCATGACCGATCCATTACGTATATATTGGACTTCCTTCCTAACGAAGTGGCTTATCACCCGCGATTGGATTAAGCATGGGATTAAGCATGCATGAAATAGCAACGTGCCGCGCTTACGGAGTTATTTTGTAAATATTTCGCATCGAGTTTGTAGAGATTCACTTACAAATAGAACAAATATCACGATTCTTCTTAGAATAATTTTTAAAAACATCCATTGGATATCTCACATGGCTATATAGATCTAGAAATGAGACTCGTAACTGCATTTCATACGATAACTTTTATAAAATGCACGCATTTAATTAAATTTTCCAATTGATAATCGAGCGAATAAATAATCGGGTCTGACTTGGGCACGTCGCAATATTTGCGCGAGTGCGTTCGGCATACATTTATCATCTTCGCAAAATTTGGCCGTTCGATATATCGCGCGTATTTGCGTTCAGCCAAATTTCGCGCCGTGTCAGATTTTCCCTACTTGTGAAATGATCGATTGCCAGTACCGACACGAAATATACTTAGTAGTCCCCTTGAATTCGCGGCATTATTTTCAGCACGACCTAGGACAATTTACTTTACTGATACACATGTCCATGGCCGAATATGAACTTAATTCGTGTAATTTTTTTGACATTATATCTGATATTCTTATATTTTGTAATTTTTTTAATTTCTTGAAAATTGGAGAGCGTGGTTTAAGATTAATATTTATCATGTACGTTTATTTGTCTCGTATGCAAATTAGCCTTCGATAACGCAGTAAAAAAACTTATTTCCAAGCACAAGCACTGTGTGGATGAAGAGTTTCCTGAGCCGTGTTTGATAAACATTTAAAGATATAGACCGATGATAAAAATGAGTAAACTTATATGAACAAAGCAAAATTATCCTTTTTAACTATTTAATTACAAAATTTAATTAGAGAGATTTAATGATCATACGTAAATGTAAATACTTCTAATATCTTTTTAATTGATGATATAAATCTTATTGTTAGATATCTATATTCAGATTGCATCGAATCTTATCAAAATTGGAGCAGAATATTTGCAAATACATAGAGTGTTTAATCCAAATTATTTGATGGTTCGATAACATCGATTCGACACATAATGATCATCGCGTATCTAATTTATGACGCTTCATGTTCATTATGGAAATGCAACGAAGTATTCGTGTTTGTTTCTGCTGATAAAGAAAATCGATGGCAAACATTGTTAAGCAACTGTAAACTTTTCGTTGTGATTAATAACTCGACTCAAAATGTACACAATTGTTTGCAATTGTAAAATATTGAAAAATTGTATTTTTTTTGTAGTTTGCGATTTATTTATATATCCGATTTGTAGGCGTATCGGAGCAACAATAAAAATATCACGCGAATAATATAAATATAAGTCGCGTAGAGCTGCTTCTGAACTCATGTTTACCGATTTTTTTATCCTCGTAATGTACGATCTGAGTGATGTCATTCTGTCGTAAAATATTCTTGCTATTCTTTCAGTGCCGTATGTAATTTATTTCTTTTAAACTAAATTAAATTTTTTAATTTTTATCTTCAGATTTACAAATAATTATTTGTTTATTCGTTTTGTGACATATTTCTCATCTCCCAGCCCAATAGAAAAAAATTCGCCGACAGCTGTGTGGATGATACCCAAGGAATGGATCTCCAACATTGACCTCGACACGCATACGCAAATATGCAGATATACGCGTTTATGTATATATGTAAATATCAAAGTCTAGCTCTTGCTTAAATATAGCCCGCCAAAGTTTTGCTAACAAGCGTTTTGTGCCACAGTAAACTAAATTATTTTTGGTAGAGATCCTCTCCCTTGTTTGCGTGTAAACAACTTCCCGCTTTTCTCTTCCTGTGCGGTGACGCTCGCTTATGTAAAAAAAATACACCTGCGTATGATACGAACTTATCTCAAATTTACCTCAATGTCTGAAAGCCTCGAAATTGTTGGCGATAAAAAAAATTACCGTCATTGAATTATGTAAATATGAGAGATGAAATGTCATATATGATATCGTGTAACATATTACGATTTGTATATTTGATAAGACTTGAGATAAAAGTGCCATTTATTGCACAGAAAAATTAAAACTGCTCGTTTAGAATAATATATCTTTGTTATTGGATCTCCAGGATTTAAAACTTTTTTTTTAAATTTTTACTTTTTCAGCTTGAGACGAAAATTACATATATCAAATATACAAAATACAATTCTTCAAACGCATTGATAAGATAAGATAAATGAAGCTGAAATAATGTAAAAATTTATACTGTTAATGTTTAATAAGAATTCCGATAAAATGAATAAGAACATCTGTTCATTATCAACAAAGTCAATTTGGTAATAGAGTAGTTTCTCATTTTCGCAGATAATGCTAATATTTCATATATCGGATTATTAAAATTCTACGTATTACGTAAAATTATCAATTGTTCTGCGGGCTGGATGAATGTTTACTCTACGAAAATTGGTAGCGATATTTCAGATGTACTTTGGTTTAATAACAAATATTTAATGTACTTAAAAAATTTATTGATAGTATTTACTAATGATAAAGATATGATACTCTTACGATTAAATTGTGTAAACATTAGACCACATGTGCTATAATCTATAATATTGACGTAAAATCCAAAGTACAAAAGTCTTCGAACGTATTAGTTTGTTATCAACGCATAGCATAAAAAAATTTTCTTTGTTAACCTTTGTAATTGAATGTAATTATATATATCTGTACGTTCGATAATGCAATACGATGCTGCATATGATGATTATTTATAAAAAAAGATTCGCACAATTTATATTACTGCGAAAAGATATATACGGACATAATAAACTTTCGTTGCTCGTATAAATTGCATTAAGATTAAAACCGCGTGTAATGAAAATTAGCTACGTAAGATCCGCAAGTTCTATCTATGTAAATATTACATTTTTATGGGCTCTAAGATAGCGTTGAAGTATGAGGTCGAAAAATTAGGAGAAGCACTGATGATGTAGAAGTTATTTTAGATTATCGAGAAGTGTGTATTTCACGCTTTAAAAATAAAGACTTAAAACAAAGTCTTACAATTCGATTTAATCCATAACGATTTAATTCCGAACGAATTTTGCAGTTTCTTAAAACGCCGATTTGCGCACAGAAAGAATATTTTTCAACTCTTTGTTGTTTTTTTATTTGCAGATCAGACAGTGTACGTCCAGGCCGCGGCGGCGACACCCGTTGAATTATTGAGAGCGATGACCGACTATGGGGTGCGCTGCGATGTAAGAAACGTCCGTTTATATCACATGCATCTCGAGGGAGCGGCCCCATTCGCAAAGCCAGAAAACGCAAGTATGTTGCATTCGTGGATATACGTAATCTTCTTTTAAATATCTCAATAACAGCTCGCCATTTAGCATGTTGTTTTGTTCCTAGCGCTCTTTTACACCTGGTTCTGCACATCTGCCACTTTTTGTGTCTTTTCAACTCGGTTTTGCATAATTTTTCATTATATAAGTTTGCTGTATCTAAAACTTTAATTTCTTTTGAATTATAAAGATATTCTGTTTTAAAAACTTTTCATTGTCGCTAAGATTAAATTAAATGTGAGGAAGTTACGAGAAAGAATAGCATTAAGTCGAGGAAGACTTAAGTTAATTAGAAAACTTAACAAACGGAATCTTTTGATTACTAAACTTATTCTTATGAAATGCAATGTGTTTGTTGTTTCAGAACACTTTAGATCCATCAGTTTGTTCATCGGCTCCAATGTGCGGCCCGCGGTAAACGCGGGTATCGCCGACTGCATTCCTATTTTCTTACACGAGATTCCTCGTCTTTTCAAGGAAGGCTATCTAAAGCCTGACATCGCGCTCATCCACGTGTCCCCGCCGGATGAGAAGGGTTACTGCTCCTTCGGCACCAGCGTGGACTGCGCTCGGTCCGCTGTGAGTCATTCCAAACGTGTCGTAGGTAAATCTCGAAAAATCTCGCACGATTATTCTGCTCTCAGCGGACAAAATCTAAAAGGAATTTAAATTCTCGCAGCCTTAGTCAATAAGCACATGCCTAGAACCTTCGGTGACGCTATCATCCACGAAAGCCATCTGGACTTTGCCGTGGAACACCACGTACCGCTGCCGGTTCATCCGGTGACGGCGCCTTCCAAGGCCGAGCAGCTGATCGGCAAGCATATCGCCGAGAATCTCGTAGTGGACGGCGCCACGTTGCAGCTAGGTATCGGCAGTATACCCGATGCTGTACTATCGTTGCTGAGTAATCACAAGGACCTGGGCATCCACAGCGAGATGTTTAGTGACGGCGTGGTGGATCTTGTAAACAAGGGTTGCGTTACGAATAATCAGAAGACGATGCACCGGGGCCGAATTGTCGGTTCGTTTTGCGTAGGCTCGGAGAAGCTCTACGATTTCATGGACAATAATCCTTTCATAGGTCTGCTCGCCTGTCTTTACCTTTCGATTGAAATTATTACTAGTTGGCAATGATCGTCTCGAAATATGACTTATTCAACAATTTTCATCTTTTACAGAGATGTTGGTAGTAGATTACGTCAACGATCCCAGAATAGTTGCCAAACAACCGAAGATGACAGCCATCAATTCGTGTATTGAGGTGGACATCACCGGTCAGATCTGTTCGGACAGTATTGGAACGAGAATGTATTCTGGTTTCGGTGGACAACTAGATTTCATCATGGGTGCCGCGATGAGTGAAGATCGTCAAGGAAAACCGATCATAGCGCTTCAATCAGTCACCGCTAAAGGTCACAGCAAAATACAACCAGTTTTAACATCAGGTAAGTGGGAATTATCAAAAAATCTTTTTCTTTTTCGTAAATGATAAATTAAAATATAAAGTACATAATGAAATTATTTATATAAATTTATATAAATATTAATATAATATAAATAATAATATAAATATTATTTATATAAACTTTTAAATTTATACATTTTTACATTTATATTTATATAAATGTTATAAATCTTGAAGTGAAATAAGAAAGTTGATTTTATTTAAACTTATATTATTTTAAAAAGCATGGAATATTTTTTATTTCGAAAATATATAAAATTTTATAAGAGATTTAGATACGATATCTAGAGGATTATATTAGAAATGTGAATTATATTAAGAATTTAGTTTTGGGGGTTTGCATGAGATAACACTAATGTCAGTGTTGTTAAAGACATCACAGCTATTATTTCTTAATGTTTTAATATTAGTCCATGTTTAGTCATTTATTAACAATATAGGCAATAAACATCGTGTTAATACTATCTTAAAAATAGAACTTTCTAAAAATTTTCGACATGCGTTGCTTTTGTTTCTTAATCAGAAGAAAACGGCAGCTGAAGATCATAGAATTTTTATAGAAACTTATGGTGATGTTACTTCATCAATTAAAATGTGAATATTGGTTTAAAAGTAGTGATTTCAATGTTAATGATAAAGATCGCTTGGGACAACTAAAAAAACTGAAAAATGCAGATTTGCATTATTGGATGAAAATCCAACACAATCTACTTCAGAACTTGTCAGAGCATTAAGGTTGATCATACGACAGTTATTAAACGTTATTTACATGGGAAAGATTCACAAAGAAGAATCCTCAAGAACATATTCCTCCAAATTAAATCACATTCCTAATATATTTTATTTTTTATTAAAATATAAATTTATCACTTTTGGAGCAATTGATTTTATGTTGATTTTAATATGTTGGTAAACATAAAAAAAAGAATATCTCATAATCAATAATTTCTTTACGCTATGTTAATAGGTGCTGGAGTAGTCACCAACAGAGCAGTTGCACGATACGTTGTGACGGAGCAGGGAATCGCCAGCTTGTTTGGCAAGAGTCTTCAGCAACGAGCGTACGAGTTGATTCAGGTAGCTCATCCCGATCACAGAGAGATGCTCGAGAAGGCGGCGTTTGAACGCTTAAAAGTGATGCCCGCGCCATAAATCGAAAATCGTGATACAGAACATATTATATTTAATAGCATTTTACACACTCGGTCACTCATGTGCTTTAGTCGCGCATAACGACCAATCATTAAAATGTCGCGAAGTGTCTTCTTTTTGTACAATATTGTACATGCTCTCTTATCAGAAGACAATTCGTCAGAAGACAATTCAGTCTTCTAGAATAAGGAAGAAAAAGGGAGAGAAAGTCAGAGAAAAAAAACACGCACTAGATCGAAAATTTAATGCGCTAATTGTAATATTATATATATATATATATATATATAAGAATCCGTAATGCGAAATCGTTTTCATATACATAGATATTAATTTAAGTCATATGTCTTTTATATTGTGAGAAGAGACGTGTTTGCGGCCTTGGAACACGACTCAAAAAAATGGTGTCATTACAAATGTGAAAAAACACATTTTTTATATTAAATTTGTCAACGTTCCTTTGTATAATTTTCATGTTACCATTGTAATAACAGAAACAATAGTAAAGTAGGAAGAAATATATAAAATGAGAACATTAAATTATTGACTTTATTATATTCTGTACGTATCTTTTGCATTAACAAACTAAAGAAGTTATACTTCTGAATACGTATTCGAAATTCACAAAGATTCGAATCGATAGTTTGTTCGCGGATTATGAGTGCTGTCAAAAAATCGAACGCCGCCAAATCAGATGTTCAAATAGCGGTTTACGAGAATTGCGATGGATTCACTTCGTATGACGTATACGGTCTGTGACATCTTTTAGATTATTGTGCAAATTTTTATAAGAATATTGTGTATTTATTGTCGTATTATCGTATTATCAAAAGCTTATAGTTCTATCGATTTCGGAACGATGAGAAAATGCTTCGAAATTTAGGATTGATATTTGGCAAAATTCAGCGCGTGAAACCTTTTCATTTATATGGACAGCGATACTTAGGAACTTTGAGGGAACCTTCTCAACCTTTAAAACGATGTCCAAAATGGGTTTGCGTGGAAGATGCGGTAAAAATCATAAATTCAGGTATTTATAGTCATATTACACGTTCTAGATAGACTATTATACTATGTGTATGAAAGATGATTATTCTTTTTTACATACATTTTAGCTTGAATAACATTAAATTCGCGTACATAATTTATAAGTTAATTTAATTATTTTAATTTTTAAATCGTAATAACAGAACATAGAATTTTTCTAAAAAATACATGTATCTAGAAATTTTCGTGAACATAAATTGTTACGTATTACAAATATTGCTGTAAGATAAATTCTTTTGTAAATAAATTTTTTCCTTTTTAGAGCATTTAGTTTTCATACAAGGTGGTGCAGGTACGCCGATGGAACTTGTGCGTGCCATGACTGAGCACGGAATATGCAATAATTTGCGTGGGGTCAGATTGCTGCACCTGAACCTCGAGGGTGATACACCGTTCGCCAATCCGGAATTTGAGAGTATGGTATTTTCAATAATTTTCATGGATAATATGATGCCTTATAAATGCAAAAATAAATAATTTTCTGCAACAATGTTACGTTTAAGAGCACTTCAGATCCATCAGTCTATACGTGGGGTATAATCTCAGAGAAGCAGTGAATGAAGGACGAGCTGATTGCATTCCGGTATTTATGCATGAAATACCGAAATTGTTCTACGAGAAACAAATTGTTCCAGATATTGCCCTGATCCATGTGAGCATGCCGGATGCACGTGGATTCTGCTCGCTCGGCGTGAACGCGGATTGCACTCGCGCTGCAATTTGCACTGCCAAAGTCCTTATCGGTTCGTCCCGAATTAACAATAATGTTGATATTAATAAAAATCATAACAGTAAAAACAAGATAAAATTATTTATGTGATGACCAGTGAATCTGGAAAGCTAACTCAGTTAACTATTATTAATATTTGTTATTTTTTATTATATTGTAATATTGATATTTTAAAATAATCTTAAAAGTTATGAAGAAGATATTTTTTTTAGCGCAAGTAAACGAGCATATACCGAGGTCGTTCGGAGATACGCTGGTCCATTCGAGTCACTTTGACTGGGCAGTGAGACATGATTGTCCTCTGCCTTGCGTGGGTTGTCTGCTGCCCAACGATCTCGAGCAGGAGATCGGCAAGATCATTGCGCAGCGGCTGATCGAAGACGGAGCGACGCTGCAACTCGGCATCGGCTGTATTCCTGATTCAATATTTTGCGCACTAGTTAATCACAAAGATCTGGGCATACATTCTGAAATTATTTCCGATGGAATAGTTGATCTTGTCCAGCACGGCAATATTACGAACAAATGCAAGCTCAAGCACAGAGGACGCATAGTAAACTCTTTCGCCATCGGAACGAAAAAATTGTATGATTTCCTGCATAACAATCCAGTCATTGGTATGGCTAATTGGCTTACTCTGATAGCTTTGAGAAAGGAGATAAAGTTCTCGTGTCATTTTATAATCAGAATTATTGTTATGTTAGAGATGCTAGCAGCTAATTATGTGAATAATTGCCAAGTGATCTCGATGCAGCCAAAGATGACGGCCATCAACTCTTGTATCGAAATGGACCTCACTGGTCAAATATGTTCAGACAGTTTGGGCTGTAAGATGTATTCTGGTTTCGGCGGTCAATTGGATTTCACTCGAGGCGCAGCGAATAGTCAGGACGGTCGTGGAAAGGCCATCATAGCATTTCCCTCAGTTACTAGTCGAGGGGAAAGTAAAATACAACCAGTGCTAAAACTCGGTACAAGATCAAATTTGATGAATAAACGCAGCGATAAATTTTATTATTTGATTACTTATAATTTTGACGTCGATTAACATTTTCTTTCACGTAGGAGCTGGAGTGGTAATTACGAGAGCTCACGCACATTATATAGTCACAGAACATGGAGTAGCGAATCTTTTCGGTAAAACTTTACGACAAAGGGCGAATGCATTGATTCAAATTGCACATCCCGATCACAGGGAGTGCCTCGAAAAGGCTGCATTTGAACGTTTGAAATCTAACCCGACAAAATATCTGTAATACTTATGATGTGTAAATACAAATCATGTGATAATCCAAGTCTCGTACGGATAATAAATTTTGATAACAAGAAATATAAAAATGTTGCATTATCAATTTTATGTTCAGATAAATAAATACAATTCTGATAAAAGACAAAAATACATATGTACAATAGTAGGAACATTCGCATATATTATATTTAGAGCGCGCGCGCGCGCGCACGCACACACACACACACACACACACACACACACACACACAGAGCACATGCACACATATATATTACAGATATATAACTGGTGTGTGTTGCATATATGTGTGCACATAAGTGTGCGCGCACACCAATTTTATATGCATATATACATTTAAATATATTTCATTTGTCAAATAAAAAAAATGTTAAAAATCTATGCCCTCCGGTAGAGTCCCCTCTTTCCTTCGTTTCTCAACATTCTCGTAATACTCTGAAAAATCTACGTAAGGCTTAATTCTAGCATTTCGCTGATTCCTGATTTCCATTCTAGCTCCAGGCGGATACAAATCTGATGTTGTTGACGTTTCAGTCGTCGACGTATCGACGTTGTCGTCTGTGATGCCGGTGCTAATGCTCGACAAATCCTCATTGTCTACTATGCTAATCGGTGCGGTCTGCACCACGGGATTGAATCTAACAGACTGACTAGTCGGACTCTTCAGAGCGTGTGGCAGCGGGAAGTTAAAGTTTCGTACTAGGAGAGTTATATCGTCGCGCTTACCAGTAGTCATGGTGTTTTGCGTATTGCTCATGTTAACGTCATGGTGAATTCTTACGATCTTGTCGACTACCGCCTGGGCGACACCGGTTAAAGTCGACTGTACTCGAAACTAAAATATGATAGAAATTTAATTTAAAAATAAACATATATTAGATTTTAATTGAAGAGATGATTATAAATTTATTTAGATTAATTACCTGTTCGACCGCTATTAAGGCCAATTCCTTGTTGACTTGATCGGTTCCGGTTGCTTCTTCCAATGATTTATATAGACCGCGTGACATAAGTAAAAGAAATCTACAGGATTCATCCAATTCGATACTACCATGGATTTCTGGTTCAGCAATGATCGGTTCGGCCAAGGAAGCTGCTAGCTCTTCGAATTCTCTGTATCCCCCTTTGACGAGATAGTTGCCGAGACAACGCGTGTTTTCCTGATTTCCAAGATGAGAACCTATAATGTACATTCCTATCTATCAGAATTTCTCTTTTATCAAAACAACTTGGCGCGTAAATGAAATATACGTCGAGTTTACCTTGCCTGATCGATTCGACATCTAAACCCAATTGAGATAATCGTAGAAGCTCGTCTTCATTTCTCAAGTCATGATCTACGCTTAATTGTACAACTCGTAGAACTTGATTGCTGTCGGTTTTACACAATAGCGCTCTGCTATCTCCGACATTCGCGACATACAGTCTTCCTCTGTAAACCAAGGCGACAACAGCACCAGTCCCAGCTGACAACTCACAGTTTAGTGCATTTAGTTTGTCAACCTGCAGATACAAATTATACATCTAAATAAAAATAGTAGCACGATTTTAATAATAAACAACTAACCAAATCTGGAAACTTTTGATAGGTTTCATAGGGAGTCAATCCATCAGGTATGTCAAACTGCAAACTAGCTCGTTCTGCTAATAGATCGCCAATTGATTCTAAGTATCCTTTCTCAACTGCTATGAATGCCTGTCTGCAGAACAAATACTTTGCATGTAGAAGAGACACATGGACCATCTGAGTATCATTGGCAGATCTTCAGAAGAGGACTGCCCCCCCCCCCCTCCCAGATCTATTATTATTATTGCACGTAGAAATAAAATATTCATTCGCAACTATAACATTAGCTTACTCAGTATAAAATACATATTATTTTTATATCAAATTGTTTCTTACTCTATTTAATTTGATTTTTTATCGATGAAATTCTTACCGGAGAACTTCTTTCACTTCTTCATCGGTTGATTTGCCATTCAATTGACCAAGTAGGATCTCTGCAGCCATTCTCTGCATAGCGAAATTGGCTGCTTTAGTACCTTCATGACCATCAAATACCGCGTAAAGAAATGTAGAATCGTCATATCTACAGTGAAAACTACGATCTTCAAATGGATGTTCTTCCTGTCGATATCCATCTTCTCTATAGATTTGATTAGTAGAAAAGCCTACACCTGGAATGTCACATAAAAGTTATCTTCATATTCTATTAAATTAAAATATTTGTTATTAATACATTATACTAATTAAATAATACTTAATGTAATACAAAATAATAAATCGATTATTTATTAAAATTAAAAGCGTAGAATATACTTTACAAATAACTCTTAGAGGCAAATATTATATGTATAAGTATTGTAATTTATAATTTAAATTTAAATTTATAATCATAAATTTATTAACAAAAACTATTATTCTTATCTTGCTATTTGTAAATAAATATTGCAATTTATTATACAGAATAAAAATATATTTTCTTGGCAACATTAGAAAAAAAGATGGTATTATGGATTGTATAGATATTATAGTCATTTGTACATCTATTAATAGGTGACAAATTCTAATAATTATTTATAAAATCATTTCTTTAATAACTCACGATTATGCAATAGCACTAATACATAATAGCTGACATTTGTTATAAGGCATTTTTATGGGCATTTCTAAATTTTTCTAAGATACATATTAGAATTCAATTACATACATACCTTCTCATTTTTTTTAAACTTGATCATGTCACATGAATGTATGTATACTTGAGCATTTTTTGTTATTTAATATTTCATATGGCTATACATTCTAAGATATGCAAACATAGAATAGCATAGCATTTTGTTAACAAAGTTCTCAAAGAATGCTATTTTTAAGATTTTCATATCAAATAATTCTTCGATAATAAATTAAGTTCGGTTAAAAAATATAAAAGTTTAAAAGTTTCTTTTGTAAAAATTATTTTTTTCAATTTGTGATCTATCCTCCTAATCATAGTAAATCAATATTTATCTCTATCTTTATTTTAGATCTTCGTGGTTATATTGTAGTTCTAACAGTTTATTTTACAAACAAATATATAATTTTATAACAAAATACGCTTTTCTAAACAAAATCAATTTTTTAAATTTGTTTTTGTAGTGGCCCATATTCTTATTCTTATTCTTCTTCGATCCATTATGCAGTATCACTACATTTTTATAGATAATATTCAATATAATAAATATTTCATAAGAATTTCTTTGAATCTAGAATATTGAATATTGAATAACACTTTGATGAATATGATATTGTTAAGTTTTCAATTTAAAATATTGATTAGTAACAAAGTTATTGTAACAAAATATAAATAAGTAAGTGACCAATACCATGTTTTATTGCTTTAATACAAAAAAGAAAGTAATGAAGTTATACACACCAGACTGCTTGCAAACTGGAAGATCATCTGTCCAATTGTACTGACTGTCCTGAAAGAGCATTGAAGCCGGACGTTCCGCGCCTGTAGACATCTTTTATTTTACCTCAACTCAAAAATAAAGAAAACATATAGATAATAATAAAATAGATATAAAATAGATATTTTTTCGTGCGGTTTCTCGTGCGAAATCGAACGCGGTAACAACTACGAGAAGCACGGAATACATTCGGTCACAGTGTATACTGAATGCTTTCCATTTAGTGACACAAGTCGACACAAGTATCATTTTGTCCTTGTTAATCATTGAAAGCCAAGAAAGATAGAATGATATCGACTTGTGTCACTAAATGGAAAGCATCCACTGTGCTTTGGACGATCTCACGAAAAAGACCTCTCAGATTTTTGTCGTGATTGCGTGACCATATTGTGAATCCTGCATAAGGATTCACAAGTATAAGTTTATAAGCCTGTTCTTTTTGACTAAACTGATTGTACTAGTTCACAATTTATCTTTCTTTCTTACACTGGAAGAAAAAAGATAAACTCTGAACTAGTGCAGCCAGTTCAGTTAAAAAGAACAGACCCTATGGTTCTGTACGGCTGCATTGGATAGCTTTGGGAACGCATTGTTGAATTTTCATCGCCGAGGTATACACGTGCGTTGAAAGAATATCTCCAGTAAAATGAAAATTAAAAAAATCAGAAAATTGAAACGTAAGAAGAAATATAATCAGAATGTGAATCGAAAAAGGTTACGAGATAAGTTACAGAAACTGCCGAATATTCCATGGTAAATTTTTTAACCTAAAATGCATGTAATTTACACTTAACATATATTGTTTTGCTTTGATATACTGTTAATCGATTGTTGTTAATTTAATTATATTTAACTTTTAGTGATGAGGTGAAGAAGGCATGGGAAAATACAAGATCTACTCGTGTCAATTTAAAAGATATGGGTTTGGCGTACGATGCAAACGAAACAATGCAAATACGTAATGTGAAACGCGAGATGTTAGAGGAGGCCGTAAAAAAAGTAAAGAAAGCAGGAAATGAAGATTCGTCAAATCACAAAAATAAAGAAATGAATATAATTACAACAAAAAATTATGTAGCAAAAAAATTGGAAGCAGAGGCAAAAGCTCCTAGAGAGCGACTTCTTAAATTACCGAAGGCACAAACAGAATTTCTCACTTATTTAATAAAAAAATATGGTGAAGATTACAAGGTGAGATTTTTTAGCAGATAAAATCATTGTTATATCCAAGAAATGGTTCATAAGAAACATTATCCATGTATTCTCTATCTGTGCAGGCAATGTCGAGAGACAAGAAGAACTATTATCAATTAACTTGGAAGCAAATACGAGCCAAAATAAAAATGTTTAAAGGTATTCCAGAACAATATAACGAATATTTTTAACATAACAATATTTACTTAGAATCTTAATATATATGAATATATATTAGGATTTTTTATATTTTTGAATTAAAATTAATGTATATGTAAGTTAATGACTTAAATATACAATGCAAAATAATCTATACTAATTTGTTAAGAGAAAAAAGATTGTATTATGATAGAAAATAAATACATTTTGTTATATATAACAAAATTTATTTATAAATAATGAATGTTTGTAATTATATTACTGTACATAAATACTTTACTATATAGTGTAATATATGTGGGTTTGCTTTGCCATCTTTAATTTTATTGGATGATTAAATGTAAAAATTACCAATTGCAAAACTGAAAACTATTTTTTCTTGTCTATATTCTGCAAATTATTTATATTAAATATACTTTAAATAATAAATGATGCTTTTAATTAAAATAATTAAGAAATTAAATTTGTCTACTTTTGCTGAATGCTCATTAATGTAGATGATTCTATGCTGTGCATATGCAGTTATATCATATCATTTTGTATATGATGTCATTGATAGTAAAATAATGACTTAATTTTTTTCTACATAAGTTTAACTTGTTAAAAACAAACTAGGTGAAGTGATAAATGTATATTATAAGAGGATGTTGAGAAAATAGTCGAATTTGGAAATGCATTGTTAGCATTTCCAATTCCATTTCCATGCATTAGAGACAGCACTAAAATATTGATAAATTACCAATACTTATAATTTCATCAACGTTTAAAAGAATATTTGTATTATTATTATAAGATATATTTTCTACAATATATTTAATAATATAATTATTAGAAGTAAATGAATATATACATATATATATTTCTTATTAAACATATGTATATACTTATATATATATATATATATTTATATTTATATAAGTATATATATATGTTTAATTTGCAATAAGAAATGAAATTTAATATCAGTCAGTCAAGATTGTTATGTAAATGTTTGTGTTTGTTATGTAAATGTTAAAACCGGTTATATTAAAACCGGTTATATTAGTACCAGTGGTGGGGATTCAAGAATATACATGTATATATGTATATTGTAATATATATATATATATATCATTGTATTGTTAACGTGTTGTTCACGTTATTGCGATAAGTATCATCATAGTGTACAAGTATCATCATATGCCTTTTCGAAAGAATAAGATACCTGCCCAGTAAGCAGGAGATCCAGGTTCGATTTCTGGCTGAGGTGATATTTTTCGCAAAATAATTACGAATTTTCACGACTGATTCGTGATCGGGCACCGCCGTGACGCCACCCTCCCTTCTTATTTGGGATAATTATAATAAAAAAAAGATAGAAAAAAGATTTAGTCATTTATAATAGCAGGAGATGGTGAGTCATTATCAGGTATTCATCAACAAGTGTATCGTAACATATATCCATTCTCCGTTCGGTAGTTGCAATGGAAAATTTGAACGTGATACTTCGCGAGCATAACATTTGTTTCTTTCGTAGAAATAAAAAAGCATCTTTCTCACATGTTTATTATCAACGATAGAGGATTAAATAAAATTGATGTGATTCCCATAAATAAAATTGCGACTGATAAAATTTCACAATCGCTGCGTATATCACACGTCTTTATTATATACAATTTTGCACGCGCAGTGTGAACATCAGTCTATTTAGTTAATTATAGACAGTTCTATGAAGTGTTTAGAAAAATGCTGGAAATAAATAATGAAAATAACGCAACGACAGCAAGAATACTGGATGACGACTGCAAAATCCATTTACAGGAATCGGAAAATTTGCTGGAAACTGGAAATTCACAAATGTGCATCGAATTTAACGATCTCTGTTACTCGATTCGCAATCGCAAAGGCAAGTTTATTATCATTCATATTCGCATATTCACGAAACTACAATTACAGCATTTTCGATATCGTGATATTGCTTCTAATTTTCGTGATACCTTCAGATCGCCTTAAATAGGCCTATATAATAGATTATATCTCGTCACTTAATTAAAATAACAGCGACACGATTGTAAATTGCTATGTCGCGATATATGTTGTGTATATACATTGTGTTTTGCATTTTGATTTACACATCCATTTATCAATGATTCAGAACATTTACATTCCGAAAAAGCTAGCCGAAGAAGTCATTTTTAATTAGCAAGTTAGCTATTAATTAGCTATTTGATTTGTTAAAAATTTTTTAATTTACGCTTATGATCTAAAAATAAAAAAATTACAACATTGAACATTCAACATAAACATTATCTATATTACAACATTTTAATCATATGTATAATATTTTAAAACGTGCTATATACATTATTAATTCATTATTTTTAAAATTGAAATTTAACATAATAAATGCATTGTTGTAGCCTAAATGCTACTACAATAAATCTTGCATTTCGGCATAGCAACGAGTTTACGCTATACCGAAAATGCAAGATTGCGAATTCTTGAACAGCGCGCGACTTTCGTCAATTTTATTATATCTCTCGATGCAACAGCATGAAGAAAAGATGAATTGTTATCAATTTACAAATCAGCAAGAAAATAACATGTAATTCAGTTATTTATTTAAAAATTTTTAGCATCTTTACGTCGCTTACCTGTTCTTAATCGTTTATTTTCTAGTATTTTCCAATCCGAATCAAGAGAATGGCATAATTAATTTAATTTAAATAAGTTTTAATTCAAGAAGATTATAAATAAATCACAATACTAAGTGGCATTCAAATCTGTCATTATTTTAACCAATAAATGTATGTTATATATAAAACATACTAACAGCATAATAACATACACTAATTATCGAATTTTTAATAACACAAATAATAAATTTATGTTAATTTTCCAAATAGGATTACTTAGCGCACCAAATAGGATAACTTAGCGCATTAATGCTACTAGATCTTAGAAAAGTCTTAATAATTTTTTTATAATATTTATAAAAATTTTTTTTATT